TGTGTATGAGTGGTTTTGTCTGCTTGCATGTATGTATGTGTTCCACATGAATGCCTGGTGCCTGATGAAGCCAGAAAGAAGATGTTCGATTCCCCCAAGAACCAGAGTTAGAGACATCTGAAGCCATCATGGAGGGGAGCACAGCTGGGAACTAAATCTGGATGCTCTGTTAGAACCCCAAGGGTTCTTAACCAAGTCTTGAAGTGTATTTACCCAACAACAGGGCATCAAAACACATAAGGCAAAAATGAACAGAATCAGGGGTGACAGAAGATGACATAATAGTTAGAAATTTGTATGTCCTCTCCACAGAAATGGAGGGTGCAGGAGGCAGAAAATTACTGAGAACTTAGTTAAGCTTATCATAGTAAATCACATGAATATAAAAAATATCTACCTACTTTTTAATGTTCATATAAAACACTGATCAAAACAGACCACATTCTTGGTAACAAAATATATCTCACCAAGCTTAAAAGAACAGAAATCATTTCATATTGTCTTAGAACAAAATGAATTAAGTGTAGATGTAACCAACCGTCTTATTAAATAAGAAACACAGAACCAATGTAAAAGAGAAAGCCAAGAAGTCAGAGCTCAGAGCTAAAACCTTACCCTTCCTCCTGCGGTGCTCCTACCTCTCTGAAAGAGACCTACTTCCTGTGTGTATGTCTTTACATAGTCTTTCTGTTCTGCCTTCTCATTGGTTGTAAACCCAAGCATGTGACTGCCTCGTCACTGCCTGTATGTACAGCCCTCCAGGTCTCTCCAGGCGTGTGTCTCCAATGCTGGCTGTATCCCTGAACACACAGAGATCTACCTAGCTCTTCTACCAAGTGCTGGGATTAAAGGTGTGCACCACCACCGCCATGCTCTTGCTATGGCTCTAACAGCTCTGACCCCCGGGGCAACTTTATTTATTAACATACAATTAAAATCACATTTCAGTACAAATAAAATACCACCATAATTAAGTTAGAAATCAATAAATGAAAGATATCTGGAAAACTCTCCAAATACTAATTATACTCTGAAAAAGCTCAGTTTATCAAAATTTTTAGATGCAGTGAAGTCAGTACTTCAAAGGATTGATGCATGTTAGAACAGACAATCTAAACTCATATTCTAAGTTTACACTTTTTGAAACTAGGAGAAAAAGCTAATTAAATTATTAACTATTTAGGCAGAAGAAGATAATTCTAGAAATATGATAAAATTGAAAACAAGAAATAGAGAAAAATCAACATGACCTAAAGTTGGTTATTTGAAAAGAGAAGCCAATCTGTCAAGGAAGGGTGAGGAAGAGCATGTGAGAAAACACAAGAGGTGGAGAGGGAGCCACAGCACAACAACTAAGACCAGGAATTAAGGGTTGGTTACCACTAAAGAAAGATCTCATGAAATAAAAGCATTAGTTAAGAAATACTATGAATAATTCTATGTCCACAAATCTCATAACCTAATTAAAATGGACTGATTTTGTAAAAGACATAATTTAACAAAACTATTTCATATTAAGAAATAGGTAATATGAACAAGTCTCAATCTACCAAAGAAATTGAATCAATACTTGGTTAACCTTCCAAGACAGAAAGCACCAGTTCTAGACAGGTTCATTTGGTAAATTCAACCAGACATTTCACAAAAAAATTATACCTATTCTTCACAAGCTGTTCCAGAAGAGAGAAATATAAGGAATACGTCTCAGTTTATTCTGAAGCCAAATTTCCAAATCAGACAAACACAAAGATGAAAACCACAGACAATTATCTTTCAGGAACAGATGCAAAATTATCAATAAATTATTAATAAGTTGATCTAGCAATGCTTAAAAATAACTATACTCCATGACCAAATAGGACTTATCACAGGAATGACCAGTTCAACATTTGAAGAAAATCAACAAAATAAGTATAGCAGTGGAAATGTTCTGCATGGTACTACAACAGGGAACACTTACCACTATAAATGTGCTAATGTGTACCATCAGTAGTCAACTCAAATGCAAAACTACTGTTTGGGTAGAAATGATATAGCAGTGTAGGTTTACCAACTGCAACAAATGTACCATTCTGGTAGGGAACACTGACAATAGAGAGCCTCTTTGTGTGTGGGGACAGAGAGTATGTATCTTGTTGAGTTCTGCTATTAGTCTAAAACTAATCTAAAAAATAAGGATCACTTAAAAAATAGACTAGGAAGTACAGTATTCACAAGGCCCTAGGTTTGAACCCTAGTATCTCTCATGTCCCCCCAAATAAAACAAAACTAAGAAATGTCCATTTCCAGAAGTGCCTACTGAACCAATTTTACTAGAATTGTACTAGAATTGTTTATAAGATATTTAATGCTATAGGCTAAAAAGATGGCTCAGCAGTCAAGAACTGTACTGTTTTTCCAGAACCAGAGTTCAGTTCACAATACTCTGACAACACAAAATCACTTGTAACTCCAGCTACAGAGGGAATCCAACATCTCTGGCCTCCATGGGCACCCGTACTTACATGAACATACTTAGACATATAATTTAAAATAAAAAAGAGATAATACTAAATTGAACTGTACATAATTTATTTAGTTACTTTCAAATTAACAGATCTTTATTACTCAATAGATTGGAATCCAAGGGCAAAGCAAATAGGACTTAGAAATTTCAGGTGTCTAAGATTTGACAATATAACTGATGTCAAGTTTGATCTGTATGGAGCAACCAGTGCTTCTTCTAACAGCTGATTAAGAATACTCTGCATTCAACCCTGGAGTGGGCTTTCATGCCTATTCTTCTCTGGATTTTCTGCTGTGGTTTGCTAAAAGATGATGATGTGATGCAAACATTTATGAAGTACTAGGCATGTTATAAATACTAATAAATAAAAACTCAAAGTTTACAGACCCAGGTAGGCAGAAAAGACCATGTGGTGTTTTCAATCAAAGCCACTTGGGTAAGGAAGATTTAGTCCTAAACTCTGTCGGAAATCTAGAGATAATCATCTCAGAGAGCAGCAGCCAGTAGTAATTACTGCTCAGTACTCATGTTTACAGCTATGTACAGGGTGGAGATGAGCTAGATTTATTTTTATGTAATGAAAATACAGGTCACACATATGCTGAAATTCTACAAAGTTCTCGGGTAGGAGTGCTATTTAAGAAAACCAAAACCCACTTAAAAAACAAAACAAAACACCCCAGGGACATACATTATATATATACATACATACATACATATATACATACATATATATACATATATACACACATATATATACATACATACATATACATATATATATATATGTATATGTATATATGAAAAAATGAGAGCTTTTCTTTAAAAGTCAAATATGTCTAATAATTGCCTGTAAACGCTTTATTGTTACTGGTGTCTTCTGATGTGACAGTGTTTCAGATGAGCCCCTTCTCCAAAGATGAAATTTAAATCAGAATCTCTCTCAGGTTATTGACATCTAATCAAACACTCAGTAAACCATGAGCAAAAAGACAAATCCATAAGACTATATCAATCTTAATGAGTTTGATACAAATCTGTTTCACTACACAATATCCCCTTTTATTGTTCAAAGACAAAAATGAATGTCAGGCTTAGGATAATAGTACCCAAGGGTTAGGAAATCTGGATTTCCTATCTTATCATTCCAAGTCTGCTCCATTTCCATTAACCCTATGTTAAGAGGTTCTGTTGTAAACACTGTGACAATGAACTTCAGAGTACACAGCAGTTCTTTCAGCAAAGGTGGGTCTGACTCTCATAATACAAGCCTAGAACAAAGTACCTGGCTAAGTCAAATGAGGTCTTCTGTCCCTCTCCTAGGAAGTAGTATAGGCCTGAGTCAGTGCTAACCTCATTGTAAATATGTATCTATCTTAATCAGAAGCAAATAAATCAGCTCTTACACTACTATCTGTAAAAGTTCATATTCTAGATGGAGCTGAGAATGACTACACAAAGTTGTATGTTTAAGTTCTAACATGTAAAATCAATGTTAAAATGAAGCAAACATCTCTCACATTTTTGTTTCCTTTTAGTTTTAGCATGGAAAGTTAACAGGAATCCTCACAACGTGGGAAAAATCCTGTTTGACCTGATTCTTGGGCATGGTAGGTGTGATTAACAGTTTTCTCAAAGATCAAAACTTTCCACCCTGCAGGGAAGCTTCTTAATCAGGAAGGTAAACAACTCAAAATAGCTTCAGGAAGTCCCTAAAACTGACCAGATCCACTAGGGTTCTCCCTGCCAGAGTAAACAATAAAAGCTGAGAGTCCCTCAAACAAAGCTAAGCTATAAAAAATGACTTTTAAACTAGCCAAGACACTGAGACCAGACCAACTGCCTAAAAGGAGAAAAAACTGAGCTGAGTTGCCTAAAAGAGGTTTAGACCAACGAGTCACTTGGAAGGGACACCCTACAACCTGCTGCGCTGCCTGTAGGCTGTGCGGTGTGCTCTGGGCTCCCAGCCTTTGTGAGCTGTCCTCTGTGCTGGGGTGGGCTGGGATGATGCAGGTGTCTTTGAGCCACTTCTGCTCCTGTAAGTGACCCCAATACAACTCACTGGCTCAACACTAAGTGGACTTTGGTGGTACCTGTACTTTGGTCTATCATAGGATCCCTATCTGCAATGAGTAGATGTGTGTTATGTCTCTCCAGAAAAAAATCTGTCACACGACAGTAGGACAAAATGCTACTGGATGGTTATCATATGACCCAAGATAACTAAAGCCATATGTGGGAGAAAACATTAGAACAGAGGCCATGGATCAGAACACACAAGTGGTTTCAAGACATGTGTAAGATAGAAGGAATATTGTAAGGACAAGGAAGACATGAGGAGTCAAAAGCCTACTGTACACATTCTCCCACAGAAAGCAAGGAAGTCTGAACTTTATATGCCTTAGTCAGACAATGCTGAACCCACAATGTGAGAAATAGGAAAGGAACCTGGTATCTGTGGACATGCTTTTTTTTAAAACCTGCAAGCACTTACCTGTGTGGCCATGGAGTGGGGAGTGTGGCCGGGGTAGTGTAGGTGATGTGCTAGAGGTTACAATCAAGCTCTTGCGATTACTTGTCCGACAACTGCAATAAAAACCAAATGTCAGTTATGGTTGGTTATGGAGGCACCTAAGCAGCACAACTCCCTGGGATTAGCAGTGCTTTTTTAAACTTCACTGTTCAGCAATTACAATGTAAAACTCTCAGATGTCATTATTGTTAGGATTCTGTAAATGCGGAGCTCGGGGTTTTGTCTGGTGTCTTACATCATCAGTGGGCGACATGTACCAGCCTTAAAAAGCTGAATGCAGACCCCCACCCTCCCTTTTCTGTTCCTCTCTGCTCTGCTCCCCACTTCCCTCCCCAACCAAGCCTGGCTCCCCACCCCCACCCCTCCATTAAAACTCTAAAAACTTTAATTGGGTTCTGTCATGGCCGTGACTCTTCCGTTGAACAACCAGCGCCATTCATCCTTTCATTGGTGTTGTGACCTCGGATAGGAAATTTTGCACACTCAGCGTCTGGGGCATAGCCGAGGGCGCCTTTTTCCAGCCGCTGGACCTGCCGCCACGGCTCCCACTGCTGTGTCCAGCAGCCGCTGCCTCTCTCCAAGATTGGTGAGTCTCTTCCCGTGGCTGCAGCCTGACCTATGTTCCTCCTACGCTGGACTCCCCAGGGGTGGTCTTCGGGCTGCACTGGCAAGGACACATTCTATAGGATGCTCGGACCACCAGGTGGTCCACTGCATATGCTCCCAGCCCTTATCCCTCCCTTGACGAAGTGGGAGTAGGGCGGGGAGTGTAACTTGTGCTGATTTACAGATCCTTCCTCTACCTCAAAGATGCTTGGGATAGCAGCCTAGGATTTGGTTTGTTATTTTAATTTTTTATTTTTCTCTCTCAGCTGCAGCCATGGGACAATGGGGCAGATACCAGTAAATCTGGCCGCATAAAAGCTTCGCAGGATGGGCAAATAAAAAGTTACTTTATCCCCAAGCTTTCTGCTAAAGCTCTGAACCCTTCTCCTTCCCCATTTCTGATGTTTTCTCTGCCACATGCAACCATTTCTATCTATCTGACTTCTGCTTTCCGCTCTCCGGCAGTGGGTGGGCATTAACCCACCCCACCTAACTCCTAAACGAGTGGGCAGGCTCTCTACTGTTGTGGGCTCTTCTGCTGACTCTCACCCTAACTAACCTTAATTCCTCCCACTCGTTCTCAAGATGTTGGGTCTAGAAGTGGACTAGAATCCATGCAAATAAGTTTACAATAGTCAAGATGGCTCTTGAGCCAGAGCTCAGTTTATAGCCTGCCCTCAGGTAAGTCTTCCAAAAGCTGTCCTCCAGCCAGTAAACATCAAGGAAGAAAAAAAAAAAAATTCAAGACACGGAGTAAAATCCATCTCTTGTTCCCCAGACCTCCCCAACTAAAACTTAAGCATCTTGAGAACAAGGCTCCTGACCCCAGAGGCGAAAGTGTCATCTGTAGCATTCAAGGTGGACCACGGAAGACATAAAAAAGCCCTAGAAAGCCCAAGAACAAAATTACCAAGTGCTGGCACATCCTGGCTCCTGAAAGCTGTTGGGTCCCTGTTTTAAGTGAGGAAAAAGGTCACGGACTAGCAAGTGCCCTGCCAGGCCATCAACAGCCTTGTTCAAAGTGCCGCCTAGAAAGACAACCAGTCAGCTCACTGCCCCCAGGCACCAATATGGCATGGAAACATCAAGCTAAGATCTCCAGCAGACCTAGGCTTGGCTACAAGCTTGAAGAGAACCCAGAACACAGCAGGGAAGCAATCCGTTTCTTTCCTTCTGGACACCAGAGCCACTGACCTGGTTCCTGGGAGTTTTGGGATGTCACCTCCCCTTGTTTCCCTATTGTCGGGGTAGGGAGGACAGCCTTACCTACCTCACCAGACTTAATTGTACTCTCAGGGTTATTTAATGGGAAAAGATTTCCAGCTAAGATAGGAGCTTTCATTTCATTGCTCCCTTCCATGTGCCTCACTCCAGACCCACCTGTCTGTGCTTACAGGGCCCTGATCTCTGCCTTGTCCCTAATTCCAAAGAAATAAGTTCTCATGCACCACAAGTTTTTCTCTTCCCAGTTCCCTGTTCCAACTCACTGCTCAGCTAATGGTACAGGACCACCACAGAACTGGAGTCCAGAGATCATCAAGGAAGAAACTGTAACAGCTAAAAGGTATTTACACCCTTAGACCCAAAAGTGTCTGGGCTCTGCAAAAACAGACTTTAATATAACTATCTATTACTGTTAAATGCTTTTAACAATTGATCACCTATGTCTCCTGGATGCTAAACTAGTAAAGGAAACAGGTACCTTAAACAATCTGTCTCTGATAAAGCTTAAAAACATGTTCCAATCTCTCTGTCTCTCTCATTAACACTAATCAATACAAGCAGAGAACTAAACGCTACCATGGTCATTAATTTTCTCATGGCTGCTTCTTAACAATTTCAAAATTTTTCCCAAGCTCCAGAAACCAGCTTAAATCCATCTGGACAGGTCAGACCTACATCAGGCTTTTTCCTGTCTCACCAGCATCCTGTCAGATACAAAAACAGCCAGAGTGCCAATCCAAGAGAGATGCACGGCTCCAGAGCAACAACACCTGTCTACCTCCGAAGACCCCCCCTTCCCTATTCCCCCTAAGAGCCAACTGACGCCCACCAAGTCAGTTGGAAGCAGTTTTTCTGGGAGAAACGACGCCCCATTCCTATTTACTTGCTTTTTTATAATAAGCAAGTCTGGAATGCTAGGATTTATACATGCGCATGTCTAGCACCTTATGTCATCAGTGGGCAATTATGTACCACTTTAAAAGCTGGACACTGATCCCCACGCTCTCTGTGCTTCTCTTCCTGTGTTTCCTCTCTCTGTTCTTGTTCTGTTCCCTCCTTCAGGCCTGGCTCCTCCCCTCTTTCCCTCCATTAAAGCTCTAAAAACTAACATTGGGTTCTGCAGTGGCCGACCAACCAGCATCGTTTATCCTTTTAATTATTCAGTGTGTTCTAACTTGGAATAACTTATGCAGCTGCCCTGACTTTTGTCTTGAGTAGCATTTTTCAAGTGTTAATTAAGTTTGCTTCCTGAAGAAACCCAAGAACATCTCTAAGGGCAACAATCTTGTTCTAAATTGTAAACTTAAATTTGGAAACTAAACACATGTCAAAATATTATTTTATCTAGGCTAGTGTAGGGCACTTGTCAAGCACATGTAAGGCCCTGAGTTTGACCTCTGCAAAAATTAATAAGCAAGAAAATACACAAAAAGATCACAGTTTTATCTCACAAATTCAATGTTTTATCATAAAAAAAATGAAGCCAATTAACACAATCTGTTAAATTGGTATTTTCACATATAGTTAATTGATGAATTACCTAACATCCTCATTTTGGAGCTGGAAATTCAATAAAACTGAATTTCCTTACAAGTTAACAACAGGCTTGTTTTTCCTATGGTCAGAAAAAACCACATCATGATGGAAAGCCATTTTAAACCATATTTGTTACTAAGAAGAATTTATAAATGTATTTGAAAGTCAGCCTATCTCTTAATTACACTAGAAAGAAACATTAAAAACATTGGGAAGAAAAACAAAACAAAAAGGCTTCAAGAACTCTGCTTCCCCTGCCATCCCCCCACCCACCCATGGCTGACAGGATCCTCCTTATAAGGCAGAGCAAGATCAAGACCAGCATGTAAATGAAAAAGTAATAAATGAAAAATAAACAAAGCAACAAGATAAAAAGACTGAAAAAAAAAAAAAGAAAGCTGAAGATGGTGAAAATGATGTCATTTAAAAGCAGTCAGCAATCATGCAAGAGTCTTGAATGATGATCCCAGAGAGCCAGTAAAGGTTAGAGGCTGCATATAGAGATCTTCCACAGATACCAGAAAGTGAAAGAGACTTAGAAGAAGCTGATGAGTATAAAGAAGCACGAACAGTACTAGATTCTGTGAAGTTAGAAACCTGCAACTTTTCTGAGAAGGTTGTTGGCATTACATACTAATGAGTTCGTCTTCATTAAAAAAAAAAAAAAGGCATTAGGGAAGTTTGCCATTGAGAGTAATCAAAATATATGCTTATTGAATAGACTACCTTTTACATACTAGGCACTGTTCCAGGTGCCAGGAAGGCTGTAAGGAATGAAGTCTATAACTGAAATAAACAGACCTATGGGGAAGAGAGAGAAAACAGGAAGAGAGGGAACCAGGGAGAAGTGGTGACAAGGAGGGAAAGACAAAGGAGGTGAGACTGTCCTGGGAGGAGTGGGAGCAGTTGTACAGGGAAGGTTTGACTCCGGAGAGGAGAGCTAAACAATGGTGTTAAAGACAGAGACACAAGATCCCAGAGAATGGGAAGAGTCTAGTGAGAGGATATTTACTATGCTTAAAAACTACTGATGTCTCTCCAAAAAACTAATTCACATATTATCCTCAAACAGTCAATCCACTTTCCCTTATACGCCAACTCTGCCTTTCATTGGACAAAGGACAGACTTAGTAGAAAAACTCAGCATGGTTGACTACTTCCTTTGCTGTGCAGGAGCTTTTCAGTTTGGTGGACTCCTGTTTCTTATTTTTGCTTTTATGAACTGAGCTTTTGCTTTGATACCTAAGAAACTTCCACAGGCAGCAGTAAGAGGATCACAAGTTATAGGCAACCTGGACTACATTACAAGGCCCTTCCTGGTGAGAAGGCACAGTGGTTAAGAGCATTTGCAGTCCTTCCAAAGGTTCTGAGTTCAGTTCCTAGCATTCACATCAGGTAGTTCTTAACGGCCTGTGACTCTAACTCCAAGTGAAATCCAATGACTTCTTTGGGCCTCTGAAGGAACCTATGCACAGGTGGCATTATAGACACATAAATTTGTGTGTGGGGGGAACCTTTCTCAAAAATAAATTAAGCTGGGTGGTGGTAGCGCACACCTTTAATACCAACACTTGGGAGGCAGAGGCAGGTGGATCTCTGAGTTCAAGGCCAGCCTGGTCTAGGATAGGCACCAAAGCTACACAGAGAAACACCACCAAAATAAAACAAACAAATAAACAAAACCAAT